AGGAGAGAGAGAGAGAGAGAGAGAGAGAGAGAGAGAGAGAGAGAGAGAGAGAGAGAGAGAGAGAGAGAGAGGCAAACGATTGTATTGCTTATTTAGTTCACTGTCGCTTGACCACTTGGGATTTTTTTTTAAATGTAAATATTTTTGCACGACTCTCCAAGGCTACGTTGGACCTGAATTTGAACCTACATTATATATAGTTGGCCTGCTACTTCTCTACCATAAATCCAACGCCTACCTCTTTCTTGGCAAGGGGACCCCTGCTAATTATCTGCAGGGACCTTTCGGATTACCCGCATGGGTTTTCTGATCTACGTGAAAGGTCTCTCTCTCTCTCTCTCTCTCTCTCTCTCTCACGCGCGCGCGCGTGTGTACACACATCACGGCCGCTCCTTTCTTCCTTTTTTTTCCCCCACATCAGCGATGAGCCCATCGCGCCGCGCGCACTGCACAACACATGCGCCGCAAGTATGCTACTGACAAACGCACAGACAGACAGACAGACAGACGGGCACAAACACACACACACACACAGAAAAAAACTCGATACACTAGACTTACGGGCTAGCTTGCCATTTTACATCCACACACTGTTGCATAAAACTTTCATCACCGATTATCAAAGCCTGCTACAGAAAAGATGAAAGACAACCCCACAAGCTTCTGCCTTTATGAACAAACAATGCTTAAAGCCTTCTTAAAGGAGACTGCCAATATCATGTCACTCACACAAACACCTAAGTTTGGAACATTGGTGGAGTCCACATTAAGGTGCAAGGAAAATGAGCGTTAGTGAAATGACAGAAATCCAGAATGCAAAATCACATTGAAACTTGAAAGCCAGAAAGTCCAACGCTGACCAGAACGCAGAAATGCGTTGATATTACACCAACGGAGAACAAAAGCACCGAATCCGAATGTCGATGAGAGCATTCTCTCGCCACCACCAACATATGTATCCAGAACCCTTCCTCCTTGGCGCTCAGCGCCCAGACTACAATCACACAGCTACTACCAGCCTACGAATTGACAATGCAACCTGTTGATGTCAGCAGCAACAACTGAAGTACATGAAGATGTCGACCCTGTGGCCCATCGCCAAGACCAGGTACATGCCCTCACATCATCATCCTCATCTCTCTCTCTCTCCCCCCTCCTGTTCTCTACCCATGTACTCCTCCCCATACACGAAGACCACCACCACCTCCACTTGCTATCCAAGCCAAGCCCTGGCTACGTAGGGCTGGTTATGGCGCTGCCCTCAGCAGCCCCCTGTATTCTTCCAGCGCCCGCACGCACTGCCTAGCACCTAGCGCTAGTGCACAACGCACAGCCTGCCAGCGCACGCTCCAGCAGGACTTCCGCATGCACTGCCTAGTGCCCGCCTCCCTGCCAGCAGGCAGGCACTTTCCTTTCTGGAAAGTGGCTGCTACTCATGAGCTGCCTGGCCTGCCTCGTCCTGTGCCCCGAAGCTTCCGGTAGGCCCCAAGTAGCTGGGGCTGAGCCCCGCACGAATTTTTCCCAGGACCTCATTCCGTTACACATGCCCAACTGCCAGTCGTGCTTCGTACTGTTCCCTGTTTTCTGACCGGCTCCAGGCCTGCTTCCACATTCTTCCAGGAAGGGCCTAGACGGCTGAAACAAGATATTGTTGCCCGTGATCTGCGCTTATATAACCAACTGGCGTGTCATAACTGTCTGGGCCCCAAATGCAGATATGGCAAAAATGGGCCTGATGTGGATTTCAAGGCCCGCATGTAAGTTCCCACAGTCCCAGCCTTCCGGAAGAACCCGGAAGGCTCACGGGTAGTTCTGATTTCCACAACTGTTGAGGACGTAACCAACTGGTGCGGGGCAACTGACTGGCGCGCACCAAGACTTTGCACAATTGACGAACAAGGCCCTCATCGACAGATGGGGGCCCGCCTTCACTTAGGGCGGGCACATATGCTTGCTGTGGGGGCCCCATCAGGGCCACCGGTGCACATTTGCAGGCCCGTCTTCACTTAGGCCCGGCACGGCCTATCTGAACACTTTCAAGGGACTAATTCCTCCTCGCAAAAGCAATGTGTGGAGTCCTATCATGGCACCAGCACTGCACCGACGGAAACATCAAACATCTTCTGACGTTGTCAATGTAAGACCTGCACACACAGAATCGACGACAATCATACGTAAGTGAATAAACCCTGAACAAAGAGATTGTCTCAAATATAAGTTAAATAATTAGTGCTTGTTTCTCTTTCATTTAACAATCAATATGTTTGTACATCAATGTATATATATGTGTGTGTTATACATTTTCCCCACAACAGCCCCGCTTCCACCCAGATGAATAGATTCAGAATCAAAGCAGTTTTTTTGTCCTATTGCAGACAGCGAGAGCATTTGAGATGAGACAGTCCATCATATTGAAGCAATTTTATAATTAGTTTATAATTAGATAGATGGTTTTTGGGTTGTCCCTGGGGTACCCCTTCCATCTGTTCTTGCAGCTCCCCGATTACTGTGCCTCTTACGTACAAGGCTGCCCACGCTGACTGGTTGAGCGGCAGCTGGCCGCATCCCCATGTGCCTTCACGGCCCACGTGCATGTATGTTATTTCAGGAGGCAGAATAAAAGGGAAGGTATGCTCCTGTGCATTTCTCTTCAGGCCTTCATACTCCTGTTCATTTCACTTCAGATCGTCAGCTTATACTTGGTCTTTGTGTCCGTCCTTCGTATTCATACTTCCGTTCATTTCATTTCTGATCTTCATATCGTCTGTTCTCTTAACGATGCTCATTCGTATGTATTTGAATAGCACAAAGGGAGTGGAGGGGAGGGTGGAAGGGAGGGTGGAGAGAAAGGGATAGTTCTGAACATTAACGGCTGGAACAGACTCTACTCTAGAATGGCACAGGGTTGCAAAAGAAAAATTGTTGGGTTGAGGAGCAGTTAATGCCTATGGCAAGTGGCCACCCCTACAGACCGGACAGGACCAGTTCGGCTATGGACTATGGAAGCACCGCATCCAATTTTCGCAGTCACAGTTGCTGCATTGAAAGGCGCAGCGCAGACAGATGTCACAGGCCACGTGGCTCCTACATGCTAGGAACACAGACACGTCGACCGCAATTATAGAGGCATTTCCGTTCCAGCCCGTCTACGAATTGGACATGAGATGTCAGGGTGCCGTACATGAGTACGGTACTGACTGTCGTCGTACATATGGAAGCAAAAACTCGCATGGACTATCCCTTCATAATCCTCATGGCACAAGGCATGCGAACCGCATGCTAGTTGAATCTCCGGCGGGTCATCACAAAGCGGCATGGAGCATCTTTCTTGGGCTTCCTCAGCATTTACTCCTTCTCTACGGACAGACAACGACAGGGAGGATCAGTCCAAAGCAAGGGCGTTCAGCTGCTGCAGGATTTGGTCCACAACAACTTGCCCTGGTGGTGATAGACTATGAGCACATCGCTCTGCTGGTGGTTCATATAGAAGTCTATTTTCCTCCTCGGACTGCTGTGTCCGACGCTCGTCTGGCGAGATAGAGGGAGATCCGTTTGCGGTTGCCGTAGGTGTATAGCCAACACTGCATGTGGGGGAGAGAGAGAGAGAGAGAGAGAGAGAGAGAGAGAGAGAGAGAGAGAGAGAGAGAGAGAGAGAGAGACGGGCTATTTTGTCTCTGGTAAACCTAGTCAGGCGATGAGAAAACAAAAGAGTAACAATACAAGGCTAGGACGAGCTATACACAGTGCCCAAGGCCATAAGAAATTACACTGGTAGGTAGATAGACGGATCACCGCAACTGGAGAACAAATCCACTTTGCTTGGAGCATCTCATCCAATCCCAGTTCAGTTCTTTCATCAGTACAGTATATCCATTTCGAGCCTATGCGACACAAATACAGCTCGGGCGAACCGACTCCCACTGTGCAACGGTGAGTGTATTGTTATTCCGTTTCGCAACTAGACCACCTACCTCTCATAACCATATGTACTGGAAGCAACCAGTGACATTCAGTGGCGATAATACCAACACTGTAGGCTGTTTTGTCTTAAACTGTTATAACTTAGGAAAATAGCATATGTATGGCAGATTAAACCACCAGTACTTGGCCCAGCTATCGGCCGCGGGAAAAAATAGAGTAGAAACGTTTCTAGTCGGATGAATTTGGGCACTCCTGTAGTGGCCCGTACATTTCCTAACATCGTGGCGAGTTCACGGGCACCACTTTAGGAAGTACTGCACTGGTTTAAACCACCAGTGCACCCGGGAGTGGAGGCGCTGCACTGCACGCCAAGGTCTTCCGCACCGCCAGTGACGCACTTTTTTGTATTTTGGCTACCGGATTTTGGCTACTGGTAGTGCCGCCCGCCATTGCGGCCCGGTAGCCCTGAGCCCCTAAAAGTTCGGAGTTGGTAACTCACGATTTTCTGCAAGGCTGGGGCCGTGTAATAGGGGGTTTTAAGCCTGTTTGCGGAAGTCGGGCCAGTTCGAGACCTTTCGGTCAATCGTTCCATGTGTGTCTGAAGTCTGTTAACACTTCAGATTACTTATACTGAAACGGTTTTCACCTTTTAGCAGTAGTGGATGCAGTACCCAGGGTTCGATACCTAGACCTCACCCTACCCATGTAGAGTATCTATGTAGACCCCGAGAATTGAACCTGTGACCTGTGTATTCGTAGGCAGTTGGTAGACCTGTCGTAGGTCCATAGACAGCAGGGGTTCGATCTGTAGGTCTATAGCGTAGGAGTCTTAGTGAGTTCTGGAAGCTTAGCTGTAGACCTTCTAGAAGGTAGGCAAGTGGGCAAGTGGTCAAGTGGTGAGGCAAGTGGTGGACTAAACCGCAGTGCAACAGCAGTGCAACGGTGGTAGGATAGCGGTGAGTCCACAGTCAGTCAACGGAAGGTCCAGTCAGTCCCAGTCCGGTCCAGCAAGTACCACAGGGGGACTGTAAGCACCAAGGGCCGATGGCAAAGGGCAGACCAACGAGTTTCTGAAGTATAAATCAAGAGGCAGCGCCCAGCCATTCATTCATTCCTGCGTGGGCCATGCGGAAGCGCTGCCACAGCGACTTGTGCAAGGAGGTCTGCAGATGAGCCCGGAGGACGCAGTGGGCAAGAGAGGAGGAGTTAGCATAGCGATAGGTTAGAGGCAGCCATAGCTGCCATAGCTGTAGTTAGTAGTGAGTGTGTGTGTGCTCGAATGTTAGAGTGATGCGTGTGGGATATCCAGGGTGATCCAGTGTATGTGAACAGTGAGACGTTTGGGCGCTGAAGTCGCCATAGCCAATTGAGAGTGAACTCGTATCTCAAAGCCATATCTCTGAGTTTTGAGTGGGCGCATGTCGCCAGTATGCTGCGTTGCTGTTTACATGCATGAAAAGTGTGTCTGAGAACGAGTCTGATTGCAATACCATCTGCTCATTCTCTAAACCTCATCCTTCTCTCTTCCCTTTTTTTTATCATATTTCTCTGTACCTCACCTTCAGTATGGGTAGAGATAAATGTCTCTAGGTTGTTCATATGCAGGTCAGATCACTGCTGCAGAGTTTAAGGTAGTCAAAAAGGGTATCAACAAAAAAAGGTGCTTCAATAAACCAAAATGAACTTGATGATTAAAATATATAATTAAAGGAAAAAAGACGCTTAGACAAAGCAACACGAACTCGTCGATGCGAATCTGATAAGTGCCGCATATGCACCTGGCTATTTTCTGGCTGGCAGGGAGTCCTCAATCTCAGGGATAGACGTTACCTTACCAAGAAGGTCGATGTTACAAATATTCCACCGGGTTTAAGCAGAAGACAGAATACTCCAACCTGCAAGTTCATTCAGACACAGAAAGAACAGATTGTGAGGAAATCTCAGGGAGCAGCGTACGAATGCATGAGGTTTTGGTTTCTCTCTCTCTCTCCCCCCCCCTCMCYCYCCCCCCCCCCCCTCTCTCTCTCTCTCTCTCTCTCTCATACACACACACACACACACACACACACACACACATACACACACATACACATAGCCCACTCTCCCCCCCCCGCCTCCCTTCTGACGAGTTGGTAAGAGTCCGAGGAAACAGTCTGGCACAGTCATGCTTCATGTGTGGAGTTGTGTATAGCGAACATGACAAAACACACACACACACACACACACACATACACAGAAACTTTAGCGCCCCCAATCATGGCAGCAGGTGGGGTGCAAGTCTGGCCCACTAGCGTGTGCACACGACTGGCGGATAATTGTAACACCAAATAACAGACAAGAAATTCCTGGCAGCCATTTCACAAATCCAGACAGTGGGGAAAAACAATGAAAAACAGAGACATTGTTGCAAAACTCTTGAGCCTACCTGCAAAATGAAAGTAAAGACCGAAGAAGAGTAGACAAAAGGAAACAACAATGGTACTCTCTTCTGTTTTTTAAAAAAATATGAAATTAACCAGACAAATCACTGCACCAACTAAGAATGGTCATGCACCATCACCCAGCGATGGTACCCTCTTTTCATTTACGATTTTCCTCGCACTTTGCTCTAGTTTTTCCTCTTTTTCTGTTTCTTTTTTGTCTTTTTCGTATTTTCAAGTACTTCTTTGTTTCCAGGTTTGTAATTCTTGTCTTTTAGGTCTGATGACGCAGCCCCAGTGGTGGCTGGAATCAGCCATGACTGGAAAGGGAGCCTAACAAAACCGCATCCTGGTCGGGTTATCACAGAGGAGCATACATAGTATATATAGAGTGTAACGTCCTTGGCCGCCAATTGGCCCTGCCATCCTGACCTGTTGCTCTCTTATCTGCAGATGACAGACAATCAACCCTCTGGATTGCTCCAGAGTAATCGATGTTCTTCTGTCTTCCTGCGTTTCTACATCAAATATCATCGATTTATGGTATGTTGGGCCTACTCCCCAGCACGAGCTCTTTCCCACAAGTAAAGTGGAGCCATCTCTAGGGGCGAGCGAACCTCCACCGACCAGCGGTGTACAGCTCCTGGGCGGTGGACAAAAAGCAAACGAACGATGTTTTCCTCGCTCTTCGGAGGACCATTGATAGTCTGGCGTCCTGGGGCCACTCGAATATCTGATGTACCTCAGCGTAAAGTACCATCAAAGTACATCTGAGGGTCAAAAAGGAAAATGAAAAAGGAATCGGGGTACACCGACACTAGAATATCTGATGTACCTCAACGTAAAGTACCATCAAAGTACATCTGAGGGTCAAAAGGAAAATGAAAAAAGAATCGGGGTACATCGGATAGTCTGGTGTCCCCAGGATGCAAGACCATACTATTGTGTCATAGTGGGCCTGGCACAGGTGACGGCGTTCACAGTCAACAAGCACTATATAGCGTCCTTCCTGAACGAAACCGGTGCTCCGACGAAATTTCACCAGCATATCATCAACACCGACGAAAAGGGGCTTCAACCATAAATAGGGTAATCACTCTACAATTTCCCAGCCTTCTGAAATGCAAATCAGAGCGTATTATGGACACAACACAGGCACGGATGTGAAGCTTTTAAGGTTGAGGGTTGGAACCCTGGTTGGAGAACACGACTCACCCTCAACCGTAAATAGGATTCAAAGTTTCAAACCCTATTTACGGTTGGCATTGATCAGAGCTTATTATAGGCATAAATAGAGTTCGAACCCCATTTATGGTTGAGGGTGCGTCATGTTCTCCAACCATAAATAAATAGGGTTCAAAGTTCAAACCCTTAACGATAAATAGGGTTAGGGTTCGAACCCTATTTATGGTTGGAGAACATGACGCACACTCAAGTTGGCATTTCATCATTGCAGGCTGAAGGCACCCAACACCAAAGCCTCCTGTGGTAGTGTAGCTAGCATCTTCTGGCCGTGGGGATAACACTATCGTCTTCCCCCGAACACAACATACCCTTATCGCGACTGAAAGTGGCAGGAAAAAAAAGTAGCTTGTATACATTCATAACGAGGGTGTGTTGTATTCGAATAACGACAACGGCTACCGGTAGTTCAGTAAGTATTGATCAAAAGAGCACCACATCCATCATAGGTATTTGGGACTTTATTTCATTTTGGGTAGATAATCGATTGTATTTTATTTACTTAAAAGTGCAATCGACAGAAATCTGCCATGTGGTCGGGTTGCGATTGTACACCTGATTGAAGCATGCATCGCCAGCTAAGGTAATGCCATATACTCGCACAAGAACTTTTCTGGATGCATCTGACCGCTTTTACAGTAAGTTGTGGCTGCACCTGACAGCAATCACGTCCACAGATAGGTTGAAAAAGTCCTCGTTGCCCTAGGAGTGCACGAAAGGGTTGGGTGGATCTTCGGAGTCATCGATGATAGTAGGTCTATCCAGGGCACGTTTATAATAATATAATTGCAATGATCAGCCTCCATATTAGTCAGTAGGCCCATCACCAGCATGTTTGTCATTTGCCACAGCCATGCTCCATATCCGCAAGATGTCCAAGCCACACTCCACACCATGAACACATCCTGGTCAATTCCTGTTGACTGGACCATCCACTTCTAGCAGTCCCACAGGCACGCAGGGAGTTTATTCTCGAACATCGCTTGAGAGCCTAACTCCTGCCTTCGGGGTGGTAGGACCGCCCAAGGGTAGAAGTTGCGGCTACTGTCTTCACCCGAATAGAACGCCCGGTCATTATAGCTGTATTTGGCACAACTTTCGGTCCAGATGCAGCGATAATGACCAGGCGTTCTATTCGGGTGAAGACGGTAGGTGACGATAGGGATCCAAAAAATCTACTGGTGGGGAGCTGCACTTGCTGGAAAGCAGGTCCAGCGTCCCTTATATGATCGTTGTCCCCTCCTCATGTATGGCCATAGCAAAATACTGGACCTCTTCACCTGTGCTATGTCTGACCCCCTAATCATTCTGTTCCAAAATATTTAGGCCAATTATTAAAAAGAACCTAATTTTCTAGTTCACCTCAGAAAACCTGCAGAACGCAGCCAGCTAACCATATATCCTCTACGCCAATTGTGATGAACCCTCGGGCCTCCTCGTTATTCACGGGGGCCGAACGGGGGCCGGGGACCCATCAACCCCGGTTCAATACAGATTCCCGAGCTGTAGATTTCAACACCCTCCCATTTGCACCCCGTGGACTGAAGAACCGACATCTGGCATTTCCGATGTCTCGGGGCCGGCCTGTTCTTCTCCAATCTTCTGTCCAGATCAGTGCAACAATGTTGGACAGAACGATGTTCATGATGGCTACATCTGAGCAAAATTCAGCTCTCTTTTTTTTCTTTTTTTTTTTAATTCAGCTCTTCTGAAAATTGGTCTAAATATTTCCAATCTGAATAACCTGTCATTTCTGGGAACTTCCAAACAGAATATAATACATAATCGCCGCCCTGCATGCCATGCCAACGTAGCACCACCCTTTACCTATGCGCTCTGCATTGCCTATGATACCCCCTCCACCACCAAGCGCTCATCCCACTTAAAATAACCATACCCATCTGTTTCTGCCACAGCCAAAATCCTTTTGGATTCCACCCCCCCCCCCACGACACAAGTGAGTCGCTGTTTCCTCTGTCTTTTTAACATCTGCAGCATGTCGACTCCAACTCCATTGGTTACCAATCAACCACGTCATCGTTGGGATCACCCTATGTGACTGAAGCTAGACAAGGCTGCCGAAAAAAAATTTGGCTAAAGAGATTTTTCTCAGGGCTTTTCTACAACTTCTGTACGGTGAGAGTGTCGATCTGAGCCACCCCAGCCAACCTTTCCACAGCTTCCCCCAGCCATCTGTTTTTGACCCCAAAAGGGAGGGAGCAGAATCTAACCTGTGCCTCACAACCGAGTTTGGGTATGTAATCTAGCAGGTTGATTTTTCCAGTAGCTCCAAGTTCGCTCCATCCACTGTGCGCATACGCAAGCAAAGGGAGCGCAGCCAGCCTGTGCACCGGCTCTGTCCCTACTGGGCAGGCATGTGCCACGCTGTCTTTGTCTGCTTCTGTTGATTTAACTACGACAGACGAGATCCTGGCCGGGCATCTAGTAGTCTACCCTACTGAACCTGTTCTTCAGATGGTTTCATCTGACTGTCCGCTCCTGTCAGTCCTCTACCCTACGTTACCAGAGTGGCCCGGGACCACTCGCCCGGCCGGGCCAAAAATGAATTAAAAAATAAAAATAAATTTTTTGTTTAATTTCTAGGCTACCAGAGTGGCCCGGGGTCACTTGCCCGGCCGGGCCAAAAAAGAATAAAAATAATGAAAATAAAAATAAATATTTTTAAATTTTATTTTTTATTTTAAATTTGGTGAAGAATAACCCTGAGGCAAAAGTTATTCAGTTTATTTTTCTGCATAACATAGTTCTTTTTATTTTTTTTGGGATTTTTTTTTTTTTTTTTNTTTTTTTTTTTTTTTTTTTTTTTTGCTGGGACCTTCCTTGGTCCTTGCACGGGCTGCCCATTACCCAGCTTTGGTTAAGGCGAAGCTTCTCCTACTTTTGTCATAGTTTTCTTTTCTTTTCTTTTCTTTTCTTTTTCCTTTTTTTTCACAGTTTCCACTGTGCTGGGGCGTGGTCCCACTAGCAAAAAGGATAGGATCGAGCTCCTGAATCTGGATGTGTTTTAAGCAGAGATGCAGAAAAGCAGTTCAATCTCGATTTCCTGCAAATCTCCATAAACTCGTCCAGATTCAGGCATTCGATCTGATCCTCTTTGCTAGTGGGACCACGCCCCTGTTCTTTGTTGTTGTTTTTTCAAATTTCAAAAGAACCTAAAATTGCTGTTCGTGCAAAAAAAAAAAAAAAAAAAAAAAAAGATTGCTGTTCGTGCCTACGCTACCAGCCGGGCCGCCCAGGTCACCCTATTTTCCCGGGCGGCCCGGCGGTGCAAAGGCCAGGGAAGGTCCCAGCCAAAAAACAAAAATCCAAAAAATCCGAAAAAAAACTATGTTATGCAGAAAAATAAACTGAACAACTTTTGCCCCAGGGTCACATCGAAATTCTTTACCAAATTTTAAATTAAAACTTTAATTATTTTTTTTTTTTTCATTTCTTTTTGGCCCGGCCGGGCAAGTGGACCCGGGCCACTCTGGTAGCCTAGGTTCGTGCAAATATGTTCCCTTCTGTTTCAATCGAGGTTCTGTCTTTTTTTTTTCCCTTTTTTTTTCCTTCTTTTTTTTTCTTCTTTTTCACAGTCTTCACTATGCTGTTCTTTGTTGTTGTTTTTTCAAATTTAAAAAAGAACCTAAAACTGCTGTTCGTGCAAAAACATGTTACAAGTACTTCTAGGCACAATTGAGATGACGACCACCTTCTGAAGTGAGCACCTTCTTCACCCGAATACAACGCACGGTCATTATAGCTGTATGTATTGGGGCAACTATGAGTCTAGATACAGCAATAGTGACCGTACGTTGCATTCGGGTGAAGACGGCAGGTAGTAGTTGACTTCATAATCGATTGCTTGCTTACAAGCCGGCGAGCTCACCGTTTCGAAAATGGCGGGAATCGACGACGAGTACGCGCGCTCACCGTTTCGAAAATGTCGGGAATCGACGACGAATACGCGCGCTCACCGTTTCAAAAATGGCGGGAATCGACGACGAATACGCGCGCTCGCCCCTGACGCCCAAAAAATCACGTCTTCGGGCGTTTGCTAACGTACGGTCGGAGGGCGACCTCCTTCTCCTTCTCCTTCCTCCTGTTCTCTTCGTTGGCGGTTCTTCGGCGCTCGGCGCGCAGCTCCCACTCGAACTCCCGCATCGTCTCCTTGCGGGGACCACTCTGCCAAACTCTACCATACCTTGGGAACCAGTTATCACCTCCACTGCCGGCCTGCTTCCTCTCCTCCTCCTCCTCCTCCTCCCTTTCTCCTCCTCCTCCCTCCTCCTCCTCCCCAGCATCGTTCATTTCCTCCGTCCGCTGCGCCGCCTTCGCCCTTGCCGCAGACATTTCTGCCAATCTCCTCTCAGCCCACGCAGCTCCGACTCTATTCGGATTACGCAAAAACTTTCTTCTTTTTTTCTGCGTGCGGGACAATTTCTTCTCCTCCTCGATCTCTCGAGGATAGATCCACGGCGGAGGAGCACCCGTGTGCACATTCGCTTCTACCTCCTCCTTCTCCTTCTCTCCTCCCCGCCGACCACTAACCTGTGCCAGACTCCCGTGTTGAGCGGAGACAGCTGTGGCGCCCATCAGAGGCAATAATTCCCCCCCCCCCTCCATGTCCGATTGCTCGTCTTCGAGGTCAATTGGCCATGGAAGACGGTTCTCCGCCCTCCTTAGCTTCACAATACCCCCTCCCCACACCCGCATCCCATCATGCCAGCCAGTCGGGTTCTGGAGAATGCCCCTAGGACTGATGATCGTCTTGAATTGCTTGGGCTGCTCAATCTTCTTTGCGCCCCCTGGTCGAATCTGTCCCTCATTATGCACCACATACATGTCTTCCCTTCCTAAACTCATTCCAACAACTTCCCCCGCTTCTCCATGTCCTCCCAGACCAACTCCACTACCTTCTCCTCCTCCTCCTCCTCCTCCTCCTCCTCCTCCTCCTCCTGCTGCTGCTGCTACACCAGCCACCCATCCACCTTTCTTCGCTATCACGCTACTAGTACAAGCCCCGACATTCTCCGACAGCAACCCCCCTGTTTCTCTGTAAGATGTTCCCAACTCGCTCTCAGCGATACGCCCGTACCCATCGTCAGCAGGAGCGGCATAATCCACCTCCTCCTCCCTCCTCCCTGGCCGGCTCGAGAGCTGCCCATCTCTAGGAGGAGCCAGTACTTCCTCCTGTGCACTGCCTTGTTCGACGCTGCTCCCCCCTCTCTCCTGCCTCTTCTCCCATGCGCTAAGCTCCTGCGGAGAAATAACGTATTGCCGCCTTTTCCTCACCTCCACGCCATGCTCATCCCAGAACTTCTTCACGTTCTCGAAGTGCTCCCCGCTCGCCACGTGGCGGATGGACAGCTCCCCGGGAACTTGGCGCCATTTCCAGACGGCAGCACCCTGATGTTCCCGCGCATCGACATTTTCCCGGGAATTTTTCGCGCTGGAGGTGGCCGTGTTCGCCCGGTGGCTGATCGACAACTCCCCGGGTGCTTGGTGCCATTTCCGGACGTCAGCAGCCTGATGTTCCCGCGTGTCGACATTTTCCCGGGAATTTTTTGCGCTGGACGTGGCGGTTCTCGTCGTGCTGCTGCTGTTGTTGCTGCTATCATCTATCTCCTCAGCGCAAAACACACACCACCACTTGTACCCTCTTCCCCACGCCGTCGTTGCCTCTGCTCCCCCCCCCTTTTTGGCTTCGTCTTTGATTCCTCCTCCTCCGTGCTTTCGCTTCGCCGCCGTGTAATCATCATCATCGTCATCATCATCGTCAACAGCTGTTGATTGGCCTTTACCAGCGGTTGATTGGTTCACACGTTCGGCCGATGATGATAACGGCGATGATTCCAACAGGCATCTCACATACTCTACCTTAACGAGGGCTTTACTTAATGCACTGTCAAGATTTTTGCGATGCCGATTAGTGTAGACATGCTGCCGACCTTGATTATGATTAAGGCGGCACACGCTGCAAAAGCGGTACTCTTTCTTCGACATCTGTGTCTCTGCATTCGCCCCTCCTCCCCTTGTGCGTATCCAAGAACCGAAGGCGTAGGAGTCAGCGAACGGCGATACATTCCACCAAAGGAAGGATCCAAACACAGGTAAGGTCTTCAACAAGCTTTTATCTGTTGACGATGAGACAAAGAAAATTAGTAAAAAATATTAGAATAGAATAGTGGCAATAAATTGCAGCTTCTTGAAAGAAAAAAAAAAAGATCGGAGCTTCGTAAGGGGGGAAAAAAAAGAAATAAAGAAAAAAAAGAAAGGAAGGAAGAAAGAAAGAGTAGTGGCAACCAATAACGAACTTGAGCGCGCATGATGACAACAATTGACAGCAGCGTGTAACCCTGCTAAACTTTAAATAAATAAATAAATAAATAATAATAACACTTGAGAAAGGGACAACCGACCGGCCTAGCTGAGTTGCGGGACACCCATAAACTGAGGAAATACAGACCCGGGGCCAAGTCCCACTAGCAGCGTTGAGCTACCTCAACGCCTGAATCTGGAAGCTTTTGCGGAGATGTGCAGAAATGGTGTCGAGTTTCCTGAACTGCACGTCTCCACAAACATGTCCAGATTCAGGCGTTGAGGTAGCTCAACGCTGTTAGTGGGACTTGGCCCCCGAGTTCGGATCCACATTCCACATTCAACCAGAAGGACGAAATAAAATACTACCGTAGTAATTCTGAATTACCGCGGCGATAATACGTATTTCAAGGCCGTCGGCGGGTAAAAGAGGGAGAGGGGGGGGGGGGGAAGAGAAGGAAAGATTGAAAAAAGATTAAAAAAAGGAGAACGAAAAAAAAGGGAGATATGCTTTAGTTCAGTATAAGTACTTACTATCCCCCCCCCCAAAAAAAAAACGTCACCCCCCCCCAAAAAAAGGGAGATGCGCTTTATTTTATCGCAATTAACAGGGTTCTCTTTTTTCCCATTTGGGATTCGATCAACCACCCATGATGACTTCAGTACGCTCTGCTAACCGTCTTCTCCCGAGGGGGAAAAAAACGCATTAAAATTTTTAAATTAAAAAACGTACTGACTGACTTCAACACTAATTTTTCAGCCAGATTAATTTCAACTTAAATTTTGAAACTAATTTTAAAAAGATGCCCACATTCTACCAGCACAAACCGACAATATCAAGGCACATGCACGGTGTCTCATTCGCCGTTCCCTGCTGACGCAGCCAATGAAAGCTCGCCACGTCATAAGACCCAAAAAAAAAAAAAAAAAACAGCGCCCACCGTAACAGGCACGTGCATCGTCTAACCCCCCGTTTAGAACGCATGCGCACAGTCTGCTCACGTAGCTCCCTCTCTGACTTTTTTCCATTTCCCATTCTCATTCTGAGCGCCACGTGGCACGTCAACGCGGGAGCCATGGAGAAGGGGAAGAGCGATGGAGAGACAGAGGAGAGAACGCATATCCATCATTAAGACCCTCGCTGACCTTTGCTTACAGATATGGCGACCACACACTCACTCATACGAGAACGATAGAGAGAGAGGGGGGGAGAGAGAGAGAGAGAGGAAAGGAGTTCAAGCCATCGCCGATGACAAATCAACGACGATGACAACAATTTGTTAAGTGGCGTAGCCACAGAATCATAACCATCGTCCATCCACGTTATCAGAGAAGGTCAATCAATCAGCACAAGCTTCGAGTATACTGATCCAAAGAGAGAGAGAGAGTCACATCTTGTCCCATTTCCACCTCCTCCCTCCCTCCTTTTTCCTCCCTCCTTCCTCCTCCCTCCTCCATCCTTCCTCCTTCCTCCTCCCTCCTCCCTCCGCTTCCCATCTCCCCCCTCCCTCTCCTCCCTACTCCTCCCTCCTCTTCCTTCCCATCCCGTCATTGGTAACCGAAATCATCATAATCACAAATTGATTGATTACCCACTTCAGCCCTCGGCCAGGGATCGGCAACATCGATCACATCACTCAAGCTGCGTGTGGACTGCACCCAAATGCTCATCAGTTCCTCTGAGGGGAAATTAAGAAAAAATCACACATTCCTCTCAGCCGCTCACTCCTCGACTCCTTCACTCTCCCGCCATCACCACCACCAACACCAGCACCATCGCCACCATCCTTCCCGACTCAAGTAATTGGGTAGAGAGGGGGAAGATGCGGAGAGGGGGGGCAAGCGGAAAAGAGTCCAGAGACAAACGCACTCACATAAAAAGATAGCTATCCAGTGGAGGACAAGATAGGGTGGAGTGGATAAGGTTTGGTCCAAAAATGTGGCAGTATATATATTTCCATGTTCTGGCGAGAGATTCATTCCCATCGAAATGTGCACTCACATAATCCGAACCTTAGCCACGCGAGAGTCGAGAAACTGTTCCAGCTTGAGAGTCAGTTCATGCCATAGCTTTCGCTGATGAAGTTCTCCCATCTGCACGAGCCATTCCGCCAGATCTGGGTAAGCCACCTGCAAAGCTTCTACAAATTTCACGGCCGCCGCCATAGCTGGCGATTCTTCTTTCGTCCTCCCTTCCTCCCTCCCCTCCTCCTCCTCCTCCTCCTCCTCCTCCTTCGTGCAACTGATCGACCTCTATCGTGCCCGCCAAACGACGACTTGACACGTGGAAGAAAAAGACAAAGAGACACACAGCGCCTCGCAGGGCGCCCGGGCAAGCAAGCTAACCACCCGCCCGCCTGGCCGATTCCATCCACTCTCAGATCGTCTCCCTCAACAACGGACACGCGGCCATTCCTCCGCGATCCTCGGATGGTTAACTACTGTCTACCCCCAAAGACAACGTACCCCTATTTTGGCTGTATCTGGCCGGTAATATAGCTTGTATTCATTCATTTCATCATTTGTAGGTTGCGTAATGTTCGGTGGAGGTCGGTACGGTAGTCGACTCACCCCGCAACAGCGCGACAGGCGGACAGAAGCACTCCGACCAGCCACCGAAAATGGCAAAGATGACCAAAAAGGCAGAGAGCAGCAAGAAGGCATGATCCACCCCAGCGGCCTACGGCAGCACTCGGACCCGACGTTGGTAAGCCACCCAAGTGGTATGCAGAAGTCATGGGTTCAATTCCCTCTGCGGGTAGGCGTCATATTCGCAGCCTGTCAGGAGTGCGTTTTATACCCCTGAATCAAATTTTGGTCGCACCCGTCGCCCCTACGGGTCCAAATGGTAGTTGGAAGGGTGGTGAATTGACTTACCGTGAGGGCACGGGTGCGCAGCCCGTAGTTCGTTTGTTTATCTGGTTCGGGAAGGGTAAGGTATTGATTATGCTGTATGTATGTTTTGTCATGTTCGCTATACACAACTCGAAGAGTGTGTGTGTGTGGGGTGCCGGTTGGTGCTTTATTCACGATGTTCATGGGACGCTGGACCCAGTTTCCAGCAGGTGGCGCTCCCCA